GGAGCGCCGCTGCGCTTCCCAAGCGGCGCACTATCCAGTGCGCCACCGGGCCGGCCCAAGCTGGACATTTTTAATACACTTAGTGGCCTGTAAGTTTTCTTCATCTGTGAATTGCTTGTTTATAATTTTTATAGACATGGGTTTTTTTTCCTTTCTTTTCTTTTAATTTGCCTCCCTAGCATTTGAAATCTCTTCCTAGGTTTGCACAGTTCCCCATCCTTTGAATCTTGGTATGAAGCAATGGTGGTAGTAACATTCATTGTCAAGGGCTATGGAGGGTAAGGTGAAATTTTAGCATCCAGCTTCCAGGATGTTAGATGTGCACCCTTCAGCACCCAGAAGACCCACTCATGTCTTACTGTTCAGCCTTTCTAGCTGTTAAGGGAGCTGCCCCGAGGACATGTGGTAAATTTCCTTTGTTCTCAAATCAGCAAGAGTTCACTGCCATTACTTGCAACTAAGAATATCAGCTAGTTTAATATATTCTACTCATTTTTTTCTATTGGCTTGTTTGTCTTCTTATTGAATTTTAGGAATTCTTGAGATATATTCTGTTGTCCTATTACTTCTTCCTGGTGAATGCTTATTTTTAACTTGTTGATGGTATATTTTAATTAGATATTTATATTTATCAATATTTTCTTCTATAAATTATGCCTTGTAACTTAAAAATCTATTCCTACTCTGATAAAATAAAAAGTCTCTTGTGTTTTGTTTCTTTATATTTTAATCTTTGATTTTGCCATGCTATGAGATGCAAATAAAAATTTTTTTTTTTGATAGAAAAGGCCAGTTGTTCCAACCCCATTTATTTTAGTTCTTTCCCCACTGGTTTACAATACCACCACTATCATATGGCAAATGCCATATGTCCTTGAGTCTGTTTTGAATCTGTATTCTCTTTTATTGATCTATTTGTCACATAATTTTGTTTACTTTAGCTTATAATAAATATTGATATTTGGTAGGGCAGATGTCCCCAGTCTGTTTTTCTTTTCCAGAGTTGTCTTTTCTTTTCTTAGAATAGTATTCTCTAGTTTGTCTGCACACAAATATAGACACACATTTGCACACACACATACATATATACATTCTGCTCCAATTTTGACTGGATTTTTATTGAATCTATGGATTAATTTTTGGGATACTTGCCATTATGTAATTGAGTTTTCTCCTGTATGAATATGAGTTCCTTATTCTATCTTTTGTACCCTTGTATTAGTCTGTTTCTTTAGCTTATAACAGGATAACTGAAACAGGGAAATTTATAAAGAAATAGAATTTATTTCTTACAGTTTTGGAGGCTGGGAAGTCCAAAGTCCAGAGGGCACATTTGGCGAGGGCCTTCATCTACAGCGATGCAGGGTGTCACATGGAGAATGGGCTGAATAAGAGAGCTAACCTCCTCAGTTGTTCTCTTTTTAAACCCATCAGAACCATGCCCGTTATCACCCATTAGCGGATTAATCCATTCATGAGGGTATAGTCCTTGCAATCTAATCACCTCTTAAAGGCCTCACTTTTCAATGACCATAATAGGATTTCCCACCCTCTTGACACTGTTACAGTAGGGATTGAATTTCCAGTTCCTGAACTGTTGGGGACACATTTAACCTATAATAACCCTTCAATAAAATTTTATAATTTTTAGTACATATTTTTGGTTCAATTTATTTCTAGTTTTCTTATACTTTTTATTTCTTTTGTGAATGACATATTTTCTTCTGTTGTGATATCTAGTTGGTTATTGTTGATATATGGAATGTCATTAATTTATTGATTTTTGTATCAATATCCTGTCAAACTCTCTTATCCCTAAGAGAATTAGACTTTCATTTTCTGTGTACAGTTACAGTATTTGCAAATAACAGTTAATTTGTTTTGTTTCCAATCCTTTTGGGTTTTTTTTTTCCTTTCTTCTTTCTTTATTGCTTGGGATCTGTATCTCATACAATATTAGATAAGGGTAGTGATAGCTGGCATTCTTGTATTTTCCTTAGTATAATGAGACAATGTTTTACCATTAAGTATAATGGTAGCCCAGTATTTTGGATAGTTAACTTTTACTGTAAGTTAGACAAGTTTCCTTCCATTTCTAGTTTGAATGACTATTGGATTTTTCAAATGACTTTCTTTGTATGTTCAGATGATAATATGATTTCTGCCCTTTGTTTTGTTAACATACATTAATATGCTAATTTATGTTGACACATTTTTCTGGTATTAAACATACTTTGAATCTTAAATCCACATTACTCTAGATGCATTTTTTTTTTTTACTATACCATTTAGTAATATTTAGGAATTTTGCATTTATGTTTATTATTGAGTTTAGCTTATAACTTTTTTTATATATGTATTTTGCATGTTTTGTTTTCAAATCAGGATTTTACTGACCTTTTACTATAAATTAGGTAACTTTACTTTCTGAAAAGAAAGGAATTTTTGTTCTTCGAAAGTTTGATAAAATCTCATCTGGAAACCTGTTTGGACCCAGATGCACATTTCCCCTGGGGGTGAGATTTTTTGATGATTGGCTTAACTTTTTAAATTGTTATTATCCTTTTTAGGCTTTCTACATGAGTAAATTTTGATAATGTATATAATTCACTTGTAAAAGTTTCTTTTCATCAAATTTGTCTAAAGATACTCAGAGTGTTTATTATTTTTAAAAATGATAGTTGCATTTTAGCTGTGGCTTTTTTCATTTTTAATGTTATTTGTCCATTTTCTCTCCATTGATTAGTAGTGAAAGAGGTTTGCATATTTTTAAGTCTTTTTTAAAGAACTAGTATTTGATTTTGTTGATTATTCTGTTCTTTTAGCTTATTTTCTATTTATTATTTTTCTTTATTATTTCATTTTTTTCTATTTCCTTTAGGTTTCCTCAGTTTTTCTTTGTTTGGTCTGTCTGATTGAATACAAACTCATTTTTGTCTTTTTTATAAACACATTTGAAACTATACATATCCCTTCTTAACACTACACTGCTTTAGATACTTTTCATTAGTTTTGATGTTGTCCTTTCCTTGATATTTCTTAATATTTTGTATTTATTAAATTAATTCATGTTATAATAGTTTATAATTTCTATTTTATTTCCTTTTTAACACACATTGAGGAATGCCATTTTTAGTTTTCAAAGTACTTGTTTACTGTTTTTTTTATTGACTTTTATCATATGCCATTTGACAATTTCTGAATCATAACATTTATGGCTGCCATGATACGGGAAACAAGACTCTGAGTGCTCAGTTGTGAGGTCAGAGAAAGATTTTGTGCAGTAGAATTAACAGAGTAATTAGCAACCATTTCCGTGAGATGATTCATATTATGTTCTTTGGTAAAGCCTAAAACAACCTACATAGATTAACATATTGCTAACTTATGAGTTATAAATAATACAAGAAGTTAAAGTGAGGCTTTTGCAACATACTATTCTTTATTGAAGAAGTAGTGTTCTGTAGATCCCAATGCATAGATTCTGCAGGTTGTATATATTTAGTATTTACTTGAAGGTTACCTTCTTGAATAATATGGCAATCAGGAATAAAAGAATTGCTCAAAAATCAACTTCCTGAGGATAATCCTATAGGAATTCCTGAGAATTATCTTTGCTGTGTAGTTTTTTCCAAAGTGGGGAAAAAAGAGATTAAGACAGATGATAAAGAAGAGATGATTTGAAAACAGGAGAAGTAGGAGAAAAGTCCCTTCTTGTGGCTTTGGTTTGCTCAGTAAGGCTCCTTATTTCCTTTGTGTAGCGTTTTTCTATTAATCAATTCTTCTCTTCGTTCAGGGAAAGATTTTACATTAGATGACTGTGATATGGAAGATCTAAATTTGGGGGAGACTTTGCCATCATCAAGTCAGAAAGAGACACCTAGGTCAAAGGTAAGACTAAGAGCCATCTCTGCTAATTGACTGTGGCTGATACCTGAATCACTGACTCAGCTCTCTAGGGAACAGGTATCTCTTTCCTTCCCTTCACCACAGTGATTTCACAATTCTTTGTCATTCTGATGTTGAAGTGACCAAAATAGGAATTTGAATGAGTAGAATTTTTTGCAGCTCTAAAGAAAATCCCTTTTAATGCTACTCTGGAAATTTTACTTATTTTGGCATTTATTTTGTTTTGTGTTACTAATGGAGATTGAAAATAAATTTCACATGAAGTATGAAGCATCCTTAAGTATATAGACAATGGACTTTTTCATTGGTAGGGACAGCATGGTACTCCTCCAAACTATGGAAAAGTAGAGGGCTGCAAAAAAATCTGTGGCAAAACCTCTCACCTCAACACATACTTCCTTGTGGAGACACTGCCAGGGTTAGAGTGCAGAAAGGAAAATTCATGTTCATCTTGTGTGGGTGCCTTGCATTTTTTTCTCTTATCTAGTCAGCTGGAACTTTGGGACTTCCATGATGATGTCCTCATGCTCACTTCCTCACTAAGTTTCAACAGTAATAGAGATAAAAATCAGTACCAAGAGCAAGTACTGCTTCCCCCATGTCCCTGATTCTACTGCCACCTCCACCCAAGGCTGACAGGAGTGCTGCTTTTAAAAATGACATTGGAGCTTCATTGTCTTCTCCTGGAGGATTCTGTCCATTCCTCTGTTATACATTGGGTAGCCACACCAAGGTCACCATCGCATCTCTGGCTGGGAGTCTGTAACTCTTAGTGCAGTGTTGGGCTCTCAGCCCATTATTGATACTTTTCTCTGATCAGAATGATTTTCTACTTGAAGCAGCAGAGATGATTCAAAAGTGAGCTGCTTCACAGAATGTTCCAAGTAGATAATTTATATAACCTCCCTTCTAGAACTGAATACATTTTATGATTTTGTTTTTATTTTTATTTTTGCTAAAGTTCATGGCTTGGTCTATCTGGGATGTTTTGATATGTTTTAAAGTTTCCCTTTAGAAAAGAATATCTTAGAACACTGCTGGATGGTTTTTAGAATATGGTGGGAAAATTAGCTGATTTTAGTAGAATTTGCTTTTCTTATATTTCATGAAGCAATTTGACATTGTAGCCACTCTATGTCCTTTCAGATATGATGCTGTCCCTTAGGAATTGCCTAGACTCATAGACTGGTAGGTGATTTGATTTGGAAGATAGTTAAAGAAATTTTTATCCTAACACTCACTTTAGAGGTGAAGAAACTGAGACCCTAAAGCTGAAATAATTTGTCTATTATCATACAGCTCTTCAGTGACAGAGAAAAGACTAGAAATCAGGCTCCTATTTCACCTTGTCCTCATAAATTCTTGGTGTATGCAGTGTGGAAAAACTTAGACTCCTCAGAAAAAAATTATCAAAACTTTTTGACATTAATTTTATTCAGTGAACAATCTCCAAAAGACCTGGCATCTTGATAACTTATTATATTTCTTCTTGTTACTTCGTGGTATTGTTAGCCAAATCACATTTTTTCAATCAATCAGAGACATGTTAGAGTCCTTAGTGAGCCTTCAGTTTGAATTACAGCTATTTAGAAGTGTTTGCTTCATTGAAAAATATAATCAAGTTGATTTTGAAGCATGACTTGAAAGATGTGTCAGGTTTAAATTGTGTTAGGACTTCCCACTCAGGTAATGTAACATTTTCAAATAAATGAGCTATACTCAAATGACTTTTAAATATGTCTGAGAGGAGAGGGAAGGGATTGCGTTGGTGTGATAGCACTGCCCCCACTTCTTTTCCTCAGTAGAACAGTCTCCACATTCCCATTTTAATTATCCTGAAATTAATTTTTAGGGGGTTGTTTTACCGATCAGTGTTGATAAACCAGTTTTCAGTACTAAGTCAACTCTGTAGAGCTCATTGCATTTAATTTATTGGTCAGCCATGCAGTTTAATTAGACGAAATCTTAGGGGGACATTTTCCTGAGATATTGTATAGTAAAAGAATTAAATACACACCAAGAAAAATAACGAAATGCATCTGGTATAGCTTATGGTAGTATCAGGCAAAATAGACTTAAACACAAAAAACATTAGGCATTAAGAGGTCCCTGTGTAATGCTTAAAGATTTAGCTTGTAAGGAAGGTAAAAAATTCAACATTTATAAGCACCTAATAATAGCTTCAGAATATATGAGGCAGTGTTTGACAGAATTACAATGATAAATTCACTATAATAGTGGGCCATTTAAAAATGTCTCTTTTACTAATAGATCAGACAAATGGTTGAGAATATAGAAATTACTTTTAAAAATTAGTGAGCTAGATATAATGACCATATATAGGAACTTGCATCCAAAAATTAGAGAATATATATTCTTTTCAAGCATATATGAGTCATTTATAAAAATTTACCATGTGCTAAATGATAAAGTATGTCTCAACAATTGTCGAATAATCTTTATAGTCCTGACTGTGCTCTCTGACATAAAGCAATTCTATTTATTTATTTATTTATTTAATGGAAACATAGTTGATTGTACATGTCTTTGGGATACACAGTTGAATATTAATACCTTTGTGCAATATGTGATGCTCAAATCAGGATATTTAGTATATTCAACATTATGCAATGCAGTCATTTTTCATGGCCCTTTACCAGTTCCTTCCTTACCCCCCTCTCTTTCCTACCTCTGGTAGTCTCAGTTCTGTTCTGTCCTTTTGAAAGTTCAATGTATTATTGTGATTGTTGTATCTTTCTTTTTTTTTATTTGTTTATTTTTTTAGCTCCCCCTTATGAGTGAGGACATGTGGTATTTCTCTTTCTGTGCCTGGCTTATTTCACTTAACATATTTTTCTCTAAGTTCTTCATGTTGTTGTGAATGGCAGTATTTCATTACTTTTTATGGCAGAGTAGTATCACATTTTGTATGTATACCACATTTTCCTTATCTAATTGTCTGTTGATGGACATTTATGTTGGTTCCAACTCTTGGCTATTGTAAATAGAGCTGCGATATACATAGGAGTGCAGGTAATCCTTCAGCATGATGATTTTCATTCCTTTGGGTGTATACTTAGCAGTGGGATTGCTGGATCACATGGCAGTTCTATCTGTAGTTGTTTGAGTAACCTCCATACTGTTTTCCATAACGGCTGCACCAATTTACAGTCCCACCAACAGTGCAGGAGGGTTCCCCTTTCTCCACATCCTTGTGAGCATTTGTTATTCTCTGTCTTTCTGATAATAGCCAGTCTAATTGGGGTGAGGTGATATGTCAGTGTGGTTTTGATTTGTATTTCCCTGATGCTGAGTGAGGCTGAACATTTTTTCAGGTGTCTGTTGGCCATCAGTATGACTTCCTTTGAGAAGTACCTGTTCAGCTCCTTTGCCCATATTTTAGTCTGATTATTTGTTTTTTTACTGTTGTTTTTCTACATTGCTTTAGTTCCTTGTACATTCTGGACATTAATCCTTTGCCAGATGCATAGCTTGCAAATCTTTTTTCCCACTCTGTAAATTGTCTTTTTGCTCTGTTAATTGTTTCTTTTACTGTGCAGAAGCTTTTTTGTTTGATATAATCCCATTTGTTCATTTTTTCTTTTGTTGCCTGTGCTTTGGGGGTCTTATTCATAAAGTCTTTACCCAAACCTACTCATAAAGTGTTTCCCCTATGTTTTCTCTTAGAAGTTTTATAGTTTCAGGTCTTTTTGAGTCTTTAATCCTTTTTGGGTTGATTTTGGTATATGGTGAGAGCTACAGGTCTAGTTTCATTCTTCTGCATATGGATGTCCAGTTTTCCCAGCACCATTTATTGAAGCAATCCAGTTAGAAGTCAACCACAAAAAGATGAAATATACATTTAGAATTTAAATACATACTTTTAACCTCATGGGTCAAAGAAGAAATCATAATGGAAATTTAAAGTATTTAGAATTGAATATATATAGAAATGCTAGATATAAAAACTTATAGTTTATTGATTGAGCAGTGCTTAGCAAATACTCATATATTGGTTTAATCTACACCATTACACTTGTAATGGTGTCAGCTATAAAGTATCTAGGAGTAAACCTAAGAAAAGGTGTGAATTTTCTTTATTGAGAATATTATATAATGCTCTTTAAATTGCTAGCTATATCATATTAGTGGATAATAAGTTGTAATTTAATAAAGATGTCAGTCATTCCCAATTTAAATTACAAAATCAATTTAGCTTAATTTCAATAAAAATTCTAAAGTTTTTCAATGTATATGAGATTTGATCAGCTGATTCAAAAACTTATTTGGAAAAACAGAAGGCAAGACAGTAGTAAGTAGTAGGAAAAGAAGGGAAATGTATGTATGTGGTGGACTGGCACTGGAAGTTATCAAAACTTATTATGAAGCTATAGGAATTAAGAAAATGTAGCAATAGTATAGGAACTGGCAAATAAGACCAGTGAAACCACATAGACAGTCCAGAAAAAACTCATGCATACATGGAAACTGTCTATGTGACAGGCGCATTGCATGTCTGTAGAGATAGAATAGTCTGCTCAGTTAATGGTGCTGGTATAACTGGTTATTCCAGCAGGAAAAATGAAAGTGTATTACTACCTGCAAGTAAAGACTAACAAAACCTTTTCTTGTTCTCTATGAGAAAATGATCTCGTGTTAGTCTTCTAGCTTTATGTTTCTCTGGGAATCAGATAAAAGTGGAATGTCAGCTGGGTTGCCAGGCAGCATTGGTAATGGTAAAAGTGACTTTAGGACTAGAAGGACTGTGAGTAGGATGATGAGTGTTTTGTTGAAAATACAAATGGGGTCTTCCCTGAATGTAGGAAGTCCCTAACTGTGATCCCAGAGGTTAGGTTCATGGGTTGTTACAAGAGATATTGGTTCCTGTGCATCATGAGGCTTCTAAACTGGGGGACTCTTGCACTCACCCATGTGGCGCTATGCCTAAGGCTGTCCTGCTGATATGTTGTGGTTCCTCTCCTGTATTCTTCTACAAAGCTCACCTCGTGCCAGGTGTGTCCTACTGGATTTTGTGAAAGTCCAGCTGAATGCAAGATCATTGTTGGTGGTTGAGCAGAGTGGGCAAGGTATAACATATGCTGAAATTGATTCTAGGTGGATTAAATTCTCAAATGTGAAAAGCAAAACAAAAAATTTAGAAAAATATATAGGAGAATTGATGTTTTTCTTACTTAGCGTAGGGAGGGATTTTTAAAAAATTATGTTTTATACATTATTCAAAATGGCAGTTAATCCATTAGAATTTAATACATTCTATAATGGTCATGTTATTGCTAAAATATATTAAATTTATATTTCAGGAAATGCTTATTCATGTCAGGCTAAAAACTTAAGTTATATGTTTTGACTTGTTCAACAAAACTAGTATTTTTGATAGGAGTGTCAAATAGTTGTTTACTTCTTTCTTTTAACATGCTTATTTTTAAAAATGATTGTGTTTGGGTCCATGTGCTAGAAGGATTGTTGTATTTATGCCTGCAAGAGGCATTTTGGGTTAGGAAGTCTCGTGAAAGTAAGGAACAGACACATCCACACACCCATACACACACACACTAGTAAGAAAGGAAAAAATTAATAAATTTTACAAAATCAAAATTATCAAAAGACACTCAAAAAAAGATGAAAAGACAGGACCTGGGTTGTGACTGGAATTGCTGTGTGAGACACACAGAGGCATGAGGTGAGGGTGGAAAATTAAGCAGAGGCCAGACCATGCAAGATTGTAGGGACTTAGCACATGCTGTTTCTTTTTGCTCAGAATGCTTCCCTCTTTACCTAGCCTCTTCTTTTCATCTTTTAGGTACACAGCAGTTATCTACCAACATACTCCATTTGTTACTGCATTAGCACTTATCATCAGCTGTAATTATTTTTTATGGTTTTTTTGTTTATTATCTATTTCTGCATAAGAATATATACACTCCACAAGGAAAGAGCACATGCCTCTCTTTTTTACTGTTTTATTCCCAGCACTTAGAACAGTATCTGCACATACTAGGCCCCCAGAAAAAATTGTTGAGTTAATGAGTCGATTAATTGAAGCAGAATTGAGGGCTAAAATAGTAAATACTGAATCTTTATTTTAATGTGACTCCATTGAGTCAGATACTGTACAAGAGGTTGCAAATACATCAAAGTGGACTAAAGTCTCTCTGTTGGGCAATGCGAAATCTCATGGCAGAGACGTACTTAGAATTACTGTATCACATAGTGCAAGTATTGAAGTAAAGATAAATATAGTACTAGGAATTTTATATTCACGGTAAACTAAATATGATAAGCACTTATTATAAGAATCTTCTTCAGGATAGGGCCGGCCCGTGGCTCACTCGGGAGAGTGCGGTGCTGATAACACCAAGACCACGGGTTCGGATCCCTGTATAGGGATGGCCGGTTCGCTCACTTGGGAGAGCACAGTGCTGACAACACCAAGTCAGGGGTTAAGATCCCCTTACTGGTCAATTTTTAGAAAAAAAAAAAAGAGAGAATCTTCTCCAGGCTGCAGTAATAATCTGTTTTTCTAAATGGGGCTTATTTCTGTTAACTTTTGGAAAATAATGTGACTGATTCCATATGAATCACTTATATTTACATAGTACTCTACACTCTGTTTTGACAGATTGGAAAATATTTAATCGGGAGATATACTTTTTTATTTATTTGTTTATTTTTGGCAGCTAGCTGATATGGGAGTCTGAACCCTAAGAGATTTCCCAGGAGTAGAAATAACACTATGTGATTGTGGTTTTAGTTCAATTATTGAAGACTTTATTGCTCTTCCTCAGAAGCATAAGAGATCATATTTCTTTTAAACTATGTTTTTCTAAAATCATGGCCATAATTTGTTTCCTTTCTTATGCCTATAGGTTTTTGAAAATAAAGCTAAAGAGAATAAAACAGAGACGGTAAAACTCTCTCTTCAGAATTTCCCACATAATGATTATGAGTATCTTTTTCAAGAGGATTCAGAAAGGTATAACTAATATGCTTATTTAGTGAATTTTCTGTTTATTCTATTCATATTCACAGTTAGCCCTCTGAATGGAGACTGTGAATAATGGCCCTCAGGTGCTTGATTAATTTTTCAAGATATAGATCTTTGTAAACCTAATTTAGTTTTCTTAGAAATATGATGTATTTGAAAAGATGTATGAAATGTTAACAGCAGCAGCATTATTTAAAAAATAAAAAGAAATATGATGTATTTATGATGTCATAAATATGTTGTTATCACAAGAAAAAGATATTCTTAAAGGATTCAGTTTCTCTATCTGAACGGTTACACAGCTTCAAAGCCTTTGTCAATGTGCTTGGAGCTTTTGGAGGGGACAGTGTACTTGAGGTTGCGGCATAAAGCTCAGTACACCACTAAATATTAGTAATTCAATTTATTTTCAGAAAGAAAATTATGTGCTAGAAACCATAGGACTATCAGTATAGTAGTGAGTTCTTGGTACTATATATGAAAAAAAAAAAAAAACCTTAAAGAGTGCAAAGAAAAGTAAATTTCCATTAGGAAAACAAACAAAACCCAGAAATTTTCATGCTTGTAAAATGTTCAGATTTAGGTGTTGAGAAATGTGTCAAGAGTTGTAGGGTGTGTGTGAGCTGGAGGTGCCAGGAAGCTGGAGAAGATGAGAAGTAGAGCCCCCAAAATAGTGTGCACTGGAGTGAGAAGGAACTCCTTCTGTGTGAAGCCAAGTGTGTGTTTTATTCAGTCTGTTAAAATGTAAATGAAGCACAGGTGGGGTCTTTTTGTTTTATTCACATATCTATCCTTTTAGAAGGAGAATTGCTGGTAGCATGGGTAAGGACAGCTTGGAATGGCAGGAAATGAGGATCCATTAAATGTTTACAGTAATCCAAGACAAGAAGAGAAGGAAAAGAGTAAGAAACCTGAAATTACCCACAGACACAAAAGAAAAAGGCATTTATTTTGCTAAGGTTGAAACATATAGCTCATGTAGGAAATTAGTAGAGAAGATGCTAAAGAAGTAGTCAGGGACCAGATTATCATCATCCTAAACTTGTGTCCAATAAGGAACCTTGACTTATCCTGGCACTGATGGGCAGGTATGATTAAACTTGCATTTTAGGAAGAATTTCCTCTAGACATTAAAGATTAGATCCAGAAGACAAATTAGGAGGCTTTTGCTAAGTGAGGTTGCAAAAACAAGAGCCAAGCGGATAGCCTAAGTGAGTAAATTGAGTAGGGAGAGGTTGGAAAGGAAACAGAAAGTGGGCATCGGCTAGTGTTTGAAGAATCTCTTAGCAATTAGTAACTCCACAGAGATGGAAAGTTTAAAAGTTTCCTATTTCTAAGAGGAGAGATAATTGAGTGTGCTTATGATATGAAAGAAATTGTAGATATGGAGAGATTAATTATATATTTTAATAGATCTGCAACATAAGCAGCGCCATTTTAGACAAGCCCAAGTACAAAATGGTGCCGTCCACCTCCTCCCCTCCCCTCCCCCCCCCATTCTCTTTTGCAAGAAGCCTCATGGTTTTGGAGAAAATGAAATTTTTGATGTTTCCATATGCACAGAATTCTCCACTCCCGTGACCTAACTCAATCCCGAACCCGGAATTACATCACCCAGCTCTTGGTGCCAACATACCAATATAAGCCCCCACCGCCCTATGTTAGTGGCTGTCTCCCATTTTCAGGGCAGCCCTGGGCAGTCCTCCATTTTGAGTACAGCCTGGCAGATTTCTTTCTTTAATAAAGCTTGAATGGTACCCGGCATCTCGGTTCACTTTCTTTCATATTTAAGAAAAGATAAGTTATATGGGCCGGCCCGGTGGCGCACTGCTACAGTGCGCTGTTTGGGAGCGCGGCGGCGCTCCCGCCAAGGGTTCGGATCCCACATACAGACCAGTTCCCGCTCACTGGCTGAGCGAGGGGCGGGGGCAACGCCAAGGGTTGCGATCCCGTTGCCGGTCCCGGTCCGGTACGGGCGCGACACTGAGGGTTGCGATCCGTTGCCGGACACGAAAAAAGACAAAAAAAGGAAAAAAAAATAAATAAAAAGAAAAGATAAGTTATAGAAAAATGCTAATGGTGGTGAACATGCTGATAGTATTGATCTGATCATCACATCTTGGACACAGGTGCTGATGGTCAGCTCTGTGCCCCATGAATATGTATGATCAATAAAATAAACAAAAAGCAAAGAAAAATGTATCAGAGGAGGTAGGAGGCAGAACGTGGAAGGATTAATTCTGGAACAGGGAGAAAGTAGATGCATCTAAGAATGAAGAATGTTGATGCATCTAAGTATATTTTTTAAGTGAGAGTAAATTGAAAGAGTTGCTGCTTGCTGGCCTGCATTTTCTAGAAGGGGCTACATTTTTACTAAGACAGAGGATGAAGATAAGGACTACATGAGGAAGGTGGTGTGGAATTAGCTGCAGTGGAGGAATGGTAAAGGAAACTGATTGGGGACATACCAGAGTTTTCCAAATGGCTCTGTGCTGATATTAGAAACCCCAGTGACTTCAGTGCTTCTCTACCACAACCTAGGTAAAGTAGGAGAGAAAGTGACTAGGTGGATGCACCCAAGGCAACTAGTTTGCAAGCCAGGGAAAAGTGGGAGGGGATGGAGTTTGTGATTAGACATTGGGATTTTGGAGTTATTTCAGGAGGCCAGTTTTAGGTGATGACAGTGGGAGTGGATGGCTGAAGTGGAGGTGAATGTCAATTGAATAATAGAGATTATTAGAGATTCTTTCTTAAATGTATGTATTCTTTGAATCCATGGACAAATATGTACATTTCTTTTCTAGTGAGAGTGATCCCAGCACGTGGATTGCCAGTGGCTCCTCCATAAGAGACAGGTCGAGCAGTGAGGACGAAAAGCTTGCAGGGCCATCACAGTCAGTCTCCCCTCTGCTCCCCGGTATGACCTCATCCAATTTGTAGTAGCAAAATAGGAAGGGGCTCTATTTCAGAGATATGCACAAAGATATTTCTAATACAAATGAAGGAAATAGCTAGGAAAAACTATTAAAAGTGGAAAAATATGGTTTTTAGGATTTTCTTTTAAAAATAATGAAAAATACTCCACAGTCTGCATTCGAAGGGCAAATTTCTGCCCTTTCTTTAAGTATTTTAATATATCAAACTTGACAATTTAATAAAATGATTCATTTGTATTTTCCTAAACTAAGGATTATAGATTTATATAGACTTGAAAAATATGACATGCTTTTTCATTTCCTTTGTTTTAGTTTGTTGCACAATACTTGCTTTGTAAGTAAAATAATAACATTTTTTGGATTACAAATAATCGTGTTTATAATGGGAAAAAACAAGTGTGTATAATAAAATAAATCATAACATTGAAGACTATTCTAATTTTTTTGTGTATATGTATTTATGCTTATATATAGTGTCATAATTATAGCTATAAATATGTATTTGCATATATAGAGACAAAAATATGTATTAAAAGATAGGTTATATAAAAATGCCTCAGAGGAGGCAGAAGGCATGGGGTTGAGAACACGGAAGGGAATTTATACATATATACATACATACACACACGTATATATAATTTCTGTGTGTGAATTTGGGGAATCACATACATACCTCACAAACCTTGGAGTTGGAGAGAATCTTAGAGGTCACTCATTTCAACATCCCATCAAGTGTTGGAATCATCTTCTCTAATGACTTTTTTAATTTAAAAAATATCAAATCTAGGGCCGGCCCGGTGGTGCACTGGATAAGTGTGCCGCTTGGGAAGCGCGGCGGCGCTCCCGCCCGAGGGTTCGGATCCCACATGCAGACCGGTTCCCGCTCACTGGCTGAGCGAGGCGCGGGAGCAACACCGAGGGTTGCAGTCCCGTTGCCGGTCCCCAGTCTGGTACAGGGGCAACACTGAGGGTTGCGATCCGTTGCCGGACACGGAAAAAGACAAAAGACAAAAAAAAAAAAAAAAATCAAATCTAATTAAGACAATACCATACTATGTAATTATTAAATTATGGCTCTCATACAAAAATAGTTTACAAGAAAATACTTTTTAAAATTGAGGTATAATTTATATACAGTAACATTTACCCTCTTAACATTCAATTCTGTGAGGTTTAATCGAGGTCTACCATCATAGTCAAGATAAAGTACATCCATCATCCCCAATTTTCTCTTATGTTCTTCTGTAGTCAGCCCCTAACCCTACCTCCAGCATTTGACAACTAGTAATCTGTTTTCATTCTTTTTACTTTTGTCTTTTTCAAAGTATCATATAAATGGAATCATAAGTATGTAGTCTTTTGACTTTTCACTTAGCATAATGCTTTTGATATTCATCTGTCATTGCATTTATCAGTATTTAATTCCTTTTTTGTTGTTGAGTAGTATTTCATTGTATGTCTTCACCAGTTTATTATCCATTTACTAGTTGAAGGACATTGGGTTGTTTCCAGATTTTGGCAATTATGGATAAAAGTTCTACAAACACTCACATACCAGTTCTATGTAAACATGTTTCTATTTCTTTAAGGTAAATATCTAGGACTGGGATTTCTGGGTCATAATTGTATAGTAGACAAACTTGTTCCAAAGAAGCTGTACCAATATCATTGGTTGCTTTTTACTGTTTTTCCTCTTTGCATTTCAGTTAAGGTAATGAACCCATTGAAAGCATTCTTTATCCCTGTTACAGTGTTTTTTATTTATAACATTTCCTTTTGATACTATCTTATAGATCTCTCTATTCAAATTCCCCATGTGTTAATGCATTTTGTTCACCTTTTCTCAGGAGCCTAAACATATTATAGTTATTTAAAATTCCCGTTCTGAGGGCCGGCCCGGTGGCGCACTGCTACAGTGTGCCGCTTGGGAGTGCGGTGGCGCTCCCACCAAGGGTTCGGATCCCACATACAGACCGGTTCCCGCTCACTGGCTGAGCGAGGTGCGGACGCAACACCGAGGGTTGCGATCCCGTTGCCGGTCCGGTCTGGTACGGGCGTGACACTGAGGGTTGCGATCCGTTGCCGGACACGAAAAAAGACAAAAAGGAAAAAAAAATAAAATAAAATAAAAAAAATAAAATTCCCGTTCTGATAATTCTAACAGGTGATTTTTGTTGTTGTTGATTGCTTTGTTTTTGACAGTGGTTTTAGTTGCTGCTGCATCTTTGTGTCTCATAATTTTCAACCAAGAGTTGGTGCTGGGTGTGAAAACTAGAGATTGAGATAAATAGAATTTATGCCTAGAAATAGTCACACCTATTCCTCTACTAGGCCATTAGTATAGGTTCTTGATTTAGTGTATTTAGGACATGAGGAGCTGGATTTTGGTTTTGTTTTGCTGTCATTACCTACAGTGACCCATTGACTTAGAATTTCTGAAGATTCAACTTGTGTTTAGGCTGGCAGCTAGGTTGCTGGAGAGGTTTTCTTAACTGTCCTGTTCCATCCCCAGCTTTAGGTCTTACCTGTGTGCCTGTGCTGCAGAAGGACTCTCTCTCCCTCTCTTGCCCCTCCTCCAGCAGTAAATTGGTGCTTGCTAGGCTGGAGGGAGGGCCAGGTCGTTCTTTGTTATCCTAGTTCAGTCTCAGCCTTAGGCAGGTGCTCCATCTTGTTTCTCAGTGGTGCAGCCTTATCACTGATACTGCCCCTTCTCCTCATGGAATACAAACTCTGCCTTATCTCTTTGGCAAGCATACCATGAGTGTTTCCTGCCCCTTGCTTAGTAGTAGGAGGTTTGTAATAGTATTGACGTAGAATTCGGGGCTCAGGACTGTTTCCTCCCCCTCCAACAGAGGTAGAGGGTTTGTTTGTTTTTTCTCTTTTACCAACTGCAGTGGGTCTTCAACTGTACACAACAGCGTTTGCTGCTGTTCCTCCTGCAGTTTAAGGCTTTTGTTCTGTGGGGGAGATAGGTCCAAGTGGGGTTTCATGCATTTTCCGCAATCGCAGTAGTTCTCTTCCTCCAAGCCTATCCCACTGAAGAGGTGATTCTTCCCATCTCCTGCTCTGTTCCCAGTTCTTATGAGAACATACTGGAGGTCTGTGAAGCTGAGTCTTGAGTATGTGCAAACTGTCTACATTAGTTTGTTTTGTGCTACTATGATAGAAATACCTGAGACTGGGTAATTTATAAGGAAAAGAGGTTTATTTGGCTTACGATTGGGACAGCTGCATCTGGCATGGGCCTCAGGCTGCTTCTACTCATGGCGGAAAGTGGCAGGCAGCCGGTGGGTACAAGCAGATCACATGGCGAGAGGAAACGAGAGAGAGAGAGAGAGAGAGAGAGAGAGAGAGAGAGAGAGAGAGAGAGAGAGGAGGTGCCAGGGTCTTTTTAAACAACCAGCTCTTGCAGGAACTAGTATAGCAAGAACTCACTCATTAATCCCCCTCCCCTAGGGAGAGGATTAATCCATTCATGAGGGATCCGCCCCCATGACTCAAACAGCTTCTAGTGCTGCCACATTGGGAGTCAAATTTCCACATGAGTTTTGGAGGGGACATCACATCCAAACTCCATCACTCTCTTTGTGCCTATGGCTTTCTGGGGTTCGGTACCGTCACACTGGCCCATGTTCAGCCTTCAGCAGGGTGTTAAGTTTTGTGACTAAATATTTCTTTCCCACTTGGATAGGTTACCTGGCACCTCTTTCTCCTGGGAGCTACCACAGTGAACCAGTGTTCATGTCTTGTCGCTCCTTAGAGGAGTCTGTCTTTCCTTAGGTTTTAGACTGCTTGGTTGCTCGGCAGCCTCAGTTCTCCCATGGGTTCAATAACATTTCGGTTTAGTGGGTTTTTTCCTCCCCAACTTATATATATTGTTAGGGTATAAATGATGCTCATACTAGCTTTCTACATTTTAGGCAGAAACGGAATTTTGAATATAAACATATATTTAAAATAAAAATAAGAATACGTTTCTTTGTAAACATGCCTTTTCAATAAGTATATATTTACACTACAATTTTTAAAAGCAAAATAATACTCCATTGTATGGCTGCACCATAATCTATATAACCAATCTTTTGTTGTTGAACATTTAGGGTAGTTCTTTTTAAGATATTATTATAATATACAGAGCTATGGTAAGCAGCCATGGAGCTGAGTCTTTGGGAATACTGTTCGACTGAACTGAAAAACAGAAGGAGAGCTATATTCAAACTACTACCACTTACCACTGTAGCAATGGCAGGAAGCCCATGATTTAAGATCAGTGTCTGGCCAAGCAGGTGGTGTGTAGGTATTTTAAAAGAAAAGGGGTAACATTTTGAGCCACAGAAGAAATAGAAACTCAGTCAGTATATCTGGGGCTATTCTTTTTGTTCTGCCAGTGTACTAGATGTTTTTTTTTTTTTATTATGGTCTCCAAGTGACAAGTAATGTTGGTGTTGTATAAAATTTGTTTTCAACAGGGAATACCATGGCCTAGTTGTTAGAGTAAGGCCAGTTACCAAGGGAAAGCAGACAGAAGCTGTTTTTTTCTTTCTCAGTACCTTCCTTTTTGGGACTGAAGTTCGGCTCCTCCTGGGGTTTGCATTGAAGTCTATATTGACAAAGGATTAATGCCCAGGCAATATAAAGAACTGCATATTCATAAGTAAAAGACAACCAGGAAGAAAAATGGGCAAAAAGCATTAACAGGCACTTCACAGAAGAGGAAATATGGAAAAACGGTTCAACCTGGTTTTGAATCAGGGAAGTGAAAATTAAATCACAGTGAAATAACAATTTTACATTGACTAGATTATTTGCAATTTAAAAATGTGATAATAGCTAATATTCGTGAGTATGTAGCATGATGGAAACCATATTAGAAAATAATTTGTTATCTTCATAGTGTGCAAAAACCCTGTACCCTAGCAGTTCCCTTCCTAGTTATTAAGTTTAGAGAAATTCCCTTTTGGACCAGAAGGCACATACAAGA